AATATGAAGCCAGTCTCGCACTTTATCTTTTAATTTCTCAAAACTCTGCAATTTCAATTTGTCTCCTTCTTGCTCCAAAATTTCCCAATTTTTCGGCCACTTGGCCTCCATATTGGACTTTTTCTGAGCCTTTGCTTCCATCGGTGACAACCACCTTGGGGTTTTATTTTCAAGTAATTCTTTATATCTTATCCAGACATTGAACCATGGCGGGGTTCTTTCAGTGTAGTTTCTTTCCACGTAAGGTTATGCACACAAATTACAATGCATAAGGAGTGTGGGAGTGTAACTGAAATGCTTCATTTTTGTTGCCAAACCAGAAGAGAGACATCCACCACAAGGAAGTGCACTGAACCTGGAAACAATGCAACATTATTTATATCAAACTTTAATTCTCATCATACTACCAACTCTTCGCATGTTCAGTTTTTGTTTTAGATCACGCAAGTTATTTTTAATTATCTGTATAACATCTGCAGTAACCAGGTGCTGTGTCCCAAATAGTTTTTAAAAGGAAAAAAAAACTTGTGTTGTTCTGTTTAGCTACGGGGACCTGGAAGCACCTGTGCCATCCCCATCCTGAATGTTAGCCAAAGGATCTTTGAATAGCAAGCTTAGCATTAGCAAAAAGGGAGTACCATCTGCCTTCTAAGAGTTTCACAATAGCTATGAGAATGGTAAGGAAAGGGCAGTCAGCTAAGGAAAGAGTTATCTCAAGTGCGGAGTGCAGTTTCCTTTGTCCTCTAAGAAGCTAAACTGAGAAGCTCTAGGGGTAGCTTGGCCTGCAGGAGGCAGCTTCTGAAATTCCCTCTTGTACACACCTATGAAAGGCGCAGGAGGCCTGCCCTCTTTTCATGACTATCCTGACACCAAATCTAAGCTCTTTAGTGCCATAAAATAAAATGGGGAAAAGTTTCAGGAGAGGGGGAAAGAAAAGAAAAAAGGTTCCCTTTCCCCTTCCTGGAACCTCCTCTGCTCTGTGAGCTCTGAACATGCTGCATGTTACTTGTTCCAAGTTGGTTAGCATCCTGCACAGGAGAACAACTTTTAGGAGCTAGGGTTATACTGTGGTACCTCGGTTTAAGAACAGCCCTGTTTACAAACTATTCGGTTTACGAACTCTGCAAAACTGGAGGTGGTGTTCCGGATTGCGAACTTTGCCTCAGTCTAGTGGAAGGGCACCAGTGGCGGGAGGCCTCATTAGGGAAAGCACGCTTCGGTTTAAGAGTGGTTTCGGTTTAAGAATGGACTTCCAGAATGGATTAAGTTCATACACCGAGGTACCACTGTACTGCAACCTTTTGTTGTGAGTCCCCTCTTATTTTGTTGTAGTATTAGCAGCAGTAGTAAACAAAAATAATAGTTGTAATAATATCATCTACTTTCTCTTTCTCTTCCATCTTAACTATGTGGGAATGTTAAGGGTAGTAGGAAAGGATATATTGAAAAAGTATTATCCTTCCTTCACTCATGCTAGTGAGTGATGTAGCAGAGCAGATTCCCCTCAATATAGCTGGAAGCTTGTTTGCAGATTCATTTGAATCTTTTAGTTAAGATTTTTTCCTGGTGCCTAAAGTAACAAAAGAATTACTCACATTTCAGTTCACAATATGATCTCTGAAAGACAGGCTTTACTTAGTGGTTACACATAGAAACTGAGTTCATCTCCTAGGGCAGGCATGGCCAAACTTGGCCCTCCAGCTGTTTTGGGACTACAACTCCCATCATGTTAGCTAGGGATGATGGGAGTTGTAGTCCCAAAACAGCTGGAGGACCAGGTTTGGCCATGCCTGTCCTAGGGAGACTGAGCTCATGTGCTGCTGGCTGAGAGCCAGCAGACAATAAAAGTTACATTAAGATAACAAAATGGCTGCAGGAGAGCAGCATGGCAGCAAAAGAGAGAACAAGACAACACTGGAACAAAACTGAGAAAATGGCTGCATGACTCAGGTCTTTTGTGGAGTCAGCCAGAGCCACGTCCATCTCCCAGGTCACATGCAGGGGGAGGACGCTCCAGACCAGTGGAAGAGGACGTTACCCTGACTGGATGTCCCCCTGCCTGTGCCCACTCTAGGGAAATAAGGAATGTTGCATTTGACTGCACCAATGGATTACATCCCACAAACTATTGGATATTTGAAAAATGACTAATGGAATTAAAGGGACATTTATTTATCACTTAAAAATATATATCCTGAGGTTGCAATCCTGTATTCCTATGCCAACACACATGTTAGGCACACACTGAAATCCCATAGGATTTAGTGAAAAGTGCAGCCTGATCCTGTGCATATTTACTTGGAAGTAAATGCCATTGTGTTTGATGGGACTTAACATTTGATAAGTGCTAGGGGTTGCAGTCCCAAGTTCACACAGCTAAGTGTGGCCAGAGTAATGTTGAGCAGTAGGGTTTGGTTAATAAATTACTAGCTTCTTGTTATGGAGGTTCAAAGTAAATACAAATGCAGTGATCAGTTCATTTTCAGAGAGAAAAGTAACATTCTTTTCTAGCACAGCAGTAACAAAGACTGAAATTTTTATTACACTACCCATTGTTCTACCAGGCCTAAACACACTAAGCACAACCAAATCAAGATCATGGGGCACAATTTTAAGAGCTCAACCACAGTGTGAACAGTGGGAAGAGATAAATCTGGCCAGCTTCAGAGTGTCTTTCATTGCTCCACAAACTGCAGCCCAGAGATGATGAAAAAACCCACTCTATATGCTTCAAAATGGCTTTGTCATGACAGCATAGTTTTACTCTGGAAGACCATGACCATAATCTGTGAGAAGATTGTTTAGCCCAGCAGCATTGACACATCACAATAGGTTCTCTGGTGGACAATGTTTCTACTTTGGAGAAAAACCTTTTACTGAGATGTTTCTGCTGATGGCTGTGTCGGAAGTCTTTCTGCTTTTGGGCTGGGCGTGGAGATCAGACTGCATTTGCTCACCCACCACTTATTATAAGAATTGTTGGATTCGACGATTCCCGGGCCTTACAGTTGATCTGGAGCGTTCACAGAGAAGAGGGGCCTACATTCTCAAAGTCTACACAGAAGCTACAGCCCAACAATGCAGCCGGACCTGCTGCCTCCTAAAGAATGGTAAGAATTCATTTTCTTCCTCTGTAAAAGATCAAAGCAGTCCATGTTAAAAACAAAACATTAACTGTTCAGCTGATGAAGGTGTATGATTTGTAACTATGCATGCATAAAGGCAAAGGTAAAGGGTCCAGTCGCAAACGACTCTGAGGTTGTGGTGCTCATCTTTCTTTCCTAGCTAAGGGAAACCAGTGTACAGCTTCTGGGTCATGTGGCCAGCATGACTAAGCCGCTTTTGGCGAACCAGAACAGCGGAAATGCCGTTTACTTTCCCGCCGGAGGAGTACCGATTTATCTACTTGCACTTTGATGTGCTTTTGAACTGCTATGTTGGCAGGAGCAGGGACTGAGCAATGGGAGCTCATCCCGTCGTGGGGATTCAAAACACGGACCTTCTGATTGGCAAGCCCCAGGCTCTGTGGTTTAGACCACAGCGCCACCCGCGTCCCTATGCATGCATACATGCAAGTATAAAAGCATTCTGTCACCCTCAAGACAACAGTGACAAAGAAACAGAACGCAGAATGAGGCTATGCAGAAGAAAGATGTAAATAGGAGCTTAATAGAGGCCCACTTGAATTGTGTCCTTGGGTGTCAGAGAACCTTTGCTTTCTCTGACATAAATGAGTGGTTGCTTGTTGTTGTTTAGTCGTTTAGTCATGTCCGACTCTTCGTGACCCCATGGACCAGAGCAGGCCAGCCAGGCACTCCTGTCTTCCACTGCCTCCCGCAGTTGGGTCAAATTCATGTTCGTAGCTTCGAGAACACTGTCCAACCATCTCATCCTCCGTCGTCCCCTTCTCCTTGTGCCCTCCATCTTTCCCAGCATCACGGTCTTTTCCAGGGAGTCTTCTCTTCTCATGAGGTGGCCAAAGTATTGGAGCCTCAGCTTCAGGATCTGTCCTTCCAGTGAGCACTCAGAGCTGATTTCCTTCAGAATGGATAGGTTTGATCTTCTTGCAGTCCATGGGACTCTCAAGAGTCTCCTCCAGCACCATAATTCAAAAGCATCAATTCTTCGGCAATCAGCCTTCTTGATGGTCCAGCTCTCACTTCCATACATCACTACTGGGAAAACCATAGCTTTAACTTTATTGGCAAGGTGATGTCTCTGCTTTTTAAGATGCTGTCTAGGTTTGTCATGGCTTTTCTTCCAAGAAGTCTTTTAATTTCGTAGCTGCTGTCACTATCTGCAGTGATCATGGAGCCCAAGAAAGTAAAATCTCTCACTGCCTTCATTTCTTCCCCTTCTATTTGCCAGAAGGTGATGGGACCAGTGGCCATGATCTTCATTTTTTTGATGTGAAGCTTCAGACCATATTTTGCGCTCTCCTCTTTCACCCTCATTAAAAGGTTCTTTAATTCCTCCTCACTTTCTGCCATCAAGCTTGTGTCATCTGCATATCTGAGGTTGTTGATATTTCTTCTGGCAATCTTAATTCCGGCTAGGGATTCATCCAGCCCAGCCTTTCGCATGATGAATTCTGCATATAAGTTAAATAAGCAGGGAGACAATATACAGCCTTGTCGTACTCCTTTCCCAATTTTGAACCAATCGGTTGTTCCGTATCCAGTTCTAACTGTAGCTTCTTGTCCCACATAGAGATTTCTCAGGAGACAGATGAGGTGATCAGGCACTCCCATTTCTTTCAGAACTTGCCATAGTTTGCTGTGGTCAACACAGTCAAAGGCTTTTGCATAGTCAATGAAGCAGAAGTAGATGTCTTTCTGGAACTCTCTAGCTTTCTCCATAATCCAGCACATGTTTGCAATTTGGTCTCTGGTTCCTCTGCCCCTTCGAAATCCAGCTTGCACTTCTGGAAGTTCTCAGTCCACATACCTCTTAAGCCTGCCTTGTAGAATTTTAAGCATAAACTTGCTAGCGTGTGAAATGAGTGCAATTGTGCGGTAGTTGGAGCATTCTTTGGCACTGCCCTTCTTTGGCAATGGGATGTAGACTGATCTTCTCCAATCCTCTGGCCACTGCTGAGTTTTCCAAACTTGCTGGCATATTTAGTGTAGCACCTTAACAGCATCATCTTTTAAAAATTTAAATAGTTCAGCTGGAATACCATCACTTCCACTGGCCTTGTTATTTGCAGTGCTTTCTAAGGCTCATTTGACTTCACTCTCCAGGATGTCTGGCTCAAGGTCAGCAACCACACTACCTGGGGTGTACGAGACATCCATATCTTTCTTGTATAATTCCTCTGTGTATTCTTGCCACCTCTTCTTGATGTCTTCTGCTTCTGTTAGGTCCTTACCACTTTTGTCCTTTATTATGGTAATCTTTGTACGAAATTTTCCTTTCATATCTTAAATTTTCTTGAACATATGGTTCTTCTCTGGTTCTTCCCATTCTGTTGTTTTCCTCTATTTCTTTGCATTGCTCGTTTAAGAAGGCCTTCTTGTCTCTCCTTGCTATTTTTTGGAAATCTGCATTCAATTTCCTGTATCTTTCACTATCTCCCTCGCATTTTGCTTGCCTTCTCTCCTCCGCTATTTGTAAGGCATCGTTGGACAGCCACTTTGCTTTCTTGCATTTCCTTTTCATTGGGATGGTTTTCGTTGCTGCCTCCTGTATAATGTTACGAGCCTCCATCCATAGTTCTTCAGGCACTCTGTCCACTTACGGCCTTCTTGTCATGAGAGCCTGGCTCTAAGTGATAGGAGATCCATAGAAGGTTACAAAGAGTCTCTGCGTGCCAAGTGTATTGTTCTCCTTGCAAGATGCCCACTGACCCATGTTGCCACCTTTCATATTGAAGAAATACTAAAATATTAGGGCCAAAATTCACCCTGTTGTCTGTGAGCTATCAAATTATCATCCTCTTCCTATAAATAATGGATCTAAAACTTGGAATTAATACATTTCATTTGAAAGTAAAGAAGAATACATCTAATCTAGTGCCATTCTTTGTTCTTTCACTGGAGCTATGAACCATAACTTGGCCTTCAGTTGTTGTTTTCAAATTTCTAGTTACATTTCTGAATTGATCCTTAATGCAAACATTATAGTGCTAATGGCAATAAATAATACAAATATAAGAAGATTCTGTCAAGACCCAAGGCAAACACAGTAGAGATTTACCAGCACAAAACATGCAACAAAGCAAAGCATGAAAATATAGGCTGTAAAATGTGCCCTTCAGTTTCCTAGTTCTGCTGGACCTCTCAGCGGCCTTTGATGCCATCGACCACTACATCCTTCTGGACTGTCTAGAGGGGCTGGGAGCTGGGGGCACTGTTATACAGTGGTTCCAAGTAGTGGTGGGGGATGAGTGTTCAGGCCCCTGGGCTCTCACTTGTGGGGTGCCTCAGGGTTCTGTCCTCCCCCCCCCATGCTTTTTAGCATCTACATGCAGCCACTGGGCGAGATCAGCAGGGGGTTTGGGTAGGGTGTTCATCAATATGCGGATGATACCCAGCTCTACCTATCTTTCAAATCAGAACCAGTGAAGGGGGTGAAGGTCCTGTGTGAGTGTCTGGAGGTGGTTGGAGGATGGATGGCGGCTAACAGATTGAGGTTGAATCCTGACAAGACAGAAGTACTGTTTTGGGGGGACAGGAGGCGGGCAGGTGCGGAGGACTCCCTGGTCCTGTAACTGTGCCCCTGAAGGACCAGGTGCGCAGCCTGGGAGTCATTCTGGACTCACAGCTGTCCATGGAGGCGCAGGTCAATTCTGCGTCCAGGGCAGCTGCTTATCAGCTCCATCTGGTATGCAGGCTGAGACCCTCCCTGCCCGCAGACTGTCTCGCCAGAGTGGTGCATGCTCTAGTTATCTCCCGCTTGGACTACTGCAATGCGCTCTATGTGGGGCTACCTTTGAAGGTGACCCGGAAACTGCAACTAATCCAGAATGTGGCAGTTAGATGGCGACTGGGAATGGCTGCCAATACCATATAACACTGATCCTGAAAGACCTACATTGACTCCCAGTACATTTCCGAGCACAATTCAAAGTGTTGGTGCTGACCTTTAAAGCCCTAAATGGCCTTGGCCCAGTATTCCTGAAGGAGACACCCCCATCATTCTTCCCGGACACGGAGGTCCAGCTCCGAGGGCCTTCTGGTGGTTCCCTCCCTGTGAGAAGCCAAGTTACAGGGAACCAGGCAGAGGGCCTTCTCAGGAGTGGCGCCTGTCCTGTGGAACGCCCTCCCATCAGATGTCAAGGAACTATCCTACTTTTAAAAGACATCTGAAGGCAGCCCTGTTTAGGGACTTTTTAAATGTTTAATGCTGTGTTGTGTTTTTAATATTTGATTGGGAGCCGCCCAGAGTGGTTGGAGAAACCCAGCCAGATGGACGGGGTATAAATAATAAATAAATTATCATCATCATCAATAATTATTATTATCAGTGTGTCCCAAAATATCCCTTTTTATATGGGCTTTCCAAGCTATCCCATTTCCATAGCATAAACTCTTCAGAGGTCAGAGTCATGTACTTCTCCATACAGCAATCAGAAAAGATGCATAGGCAGTCAAAACACTGGTTAGCTACAAAAGAAAAAAGTTTATAAACTATTGGTATAGGGGAAAAATGCTAGTTGCAGACTCTATTCTGGTCTGAAACGAAAAAGGCTGGTTAAAGCCATGTGCTGGAGCAACCAGCACAGAGCTCCTTACATACTGAAGTCCACATGGAGAGTGAAAAAGATAACGAAGACCGGGGGTGGATCTACACACGGGGAGGGGGGACAGTATAAATAAGTCAGAAATTAGAGTGGTATAAGAAAAAAAAAATTAAACCCTATGGGAAAAGTGTATAAAAATTTTCTGCTCTCTGGCGCCATCTGGTATTACATGTTTATAGCACATTCAAATCATTGTTGACCCAAGGTGGGAAGTGGTGACATATGCCAACATGGCAACATAGCTTACTCTATAGCTTAACCCCTTCATCATCATCATCATCATCATTTATTATTTATGCCCCACCCATCTGGCTGGGCTTCCCCAGCCACTCTGGGCAGCTTCCAAAAGAATATTAAAATACTATAATACATCAAACATTAAAAGCTTCCCGAAACAGGGCTGCCTTCAGATGTCTTCTAAAAGCCTGGTAGTTGTTGTTCTCTTTGACATCTGGTGGGAGGGTGTTCCACAGGGAAGGCGCCACTACCGAGAAGGCCCTCTGCCTGGTTCCCTGTAACTTGGCCTCTCGCAGTGAGGGAACCGCCAGAAGGCCCTCGGTGCTGGACATCAGTGTCTGGGTAGAACGATGGGGGTGGAGATGCTCCTTCAGATATACTGGACCGAGGCCGTTTAGGGCTTTAAAGGTCAGCACCAACACTTTGAATTGTGCTCAGAAATGTACTGGGACCCAATGTAGGTCTTTCAAGACCGGGGTTATGTGGTCTCGGCGGCCGCTCCCAGTCACCAGTCTGGCTGCCGCGTTCTGGATTAGTTGTAGTTTCCGGATCACCTTCAAAGGTAGCCCCACATAGAGCACATTGCAGTAGTCCAAGCGGGAGATAACCAGAGCATGCACCACTCTGGCAAGGCAGTCTGCAGGCAGATAGGGTCTCAGCCTGCATACCAGATGGAGCTGGTACACAGCTGCCCTGGCCAGGATTTGACCTGTGCCTCCATGGACAGCTGTGAGTCCAAAATGACTCCCAGCAACCACTTGCTCAATCACCTTGCCCAAGAATGGAAGATTTGAGATTGGGCGATAGTTGGCCATCGTGGCCGCATCTAAAGATGGTTTTTTAAGAAGCGGTTTAATAACCGCCTCTTTCAGCGGGTCTGGGAAGGCTCCCTCACAGAGAAAAGCATTCACCACCCCGCGAGGCCCATCACCCAGCCCTTCCCAGCTAGCTTTTATAAGCCAGGATGGGCAAGGATCAAGGAGACAAGTGGTTGGTTTCACTCGTCCAAGCAGACTGTCCACATCCTCAGGGGTAACAGATTGGAATTGATCCCACACAACTTGACTAGACAGGACTCTAGCACTCTCCCGCCCTGGCCCTGCTCCCACGGTGGTGTCTACCTCTTTCCGAATCTGAGTGACTTTATCTGCAAAAAACTTTGCAAAATCATTGCAGGAGATCATGTGGCCCGTAGTGGGCCCCGATGTAGCAGGTGGTTCTGCTAAATTGCGAACCACCTGAAAAAGTCTCCTGTTGCTGTTTTCTGCAGATGCAATAGAGGTGGTGAAGAAAGTCTTCTTCGCCGTCGCTACCGCCACTTGGTAGGCTCGACATTGAGCTCTAACCCGTGTCCGGTCAGCTTCAGAATGGGTCATCCGCCACCGGCGCTCTAGCCGTCTCAACAATTGTTTCATTGCCCTCAGATCCGTGGAAAACCACGGGGCTGTCCGGGCTCCATGCAATCGGAGAGGGCGCTTTGGAGCCAAACAGTCAATAGCCCCGGTTAACTCCACATTCCAGCAGGCCACCAGGGAATGAGCTGAAAGGCCATCAACATGGGATAAAGCATCCCCTACCACTCTCTGGAAACCATTTGGATCCATTAAGTGGAGGGGGCGGACCATCCGAATCGGTCCCACCTCCCTGCAGAGGGGAAGGGTCGCGGAGAAGTCCAGTTGCACCAGGAAGTGGTCTGACCATGGCACTTCTTTCGTTTTGCTTTTACTTAGTGTCAGATCACCAACATCCATAGAGGTAAACACCAGGTCCAAGGCATGTCCACGGCTATGAGTTGGGCCAGACTTATTATCATGCACTAATTAGATTCATGCACTAATTAGATTCAAACATTGTAGTTATATGACGCTGGAACCCTAAAGATTCTTGTTTGGATAATTAACTGTGAAAATTTTGTTAATAACTAGCACTACTGATTACAAATGATTAGAATTTAAAAACATTTACAACAGGAGCTGACATATACCACATTTTCTGTGATAACCAACAAGGAGAATCAGCGGATAGCTATGCTACAATATCACTTTTGCTGTATTTTATTACTTCAAGTTATGGGAAGGGGACTAGACACAAACCTGCCCTTTTCTCTGGCAATCCTGTGTTTGGGTTAATTTACTTCCACCCTGAAAGTTCATGGCCACATCATTCCTCCTGAGACATGCTTACATTTCTAATCAAAACTGAATTTTCAATAGGTTGAGGCATGCAACAGCAAGGAGGTGTAATCATAATGTAAATCACATTTCCCAGTGCACAGCTCTACCCCTCACTGCTGCTCAAGAACTGGAGTGCTGGAAGATGATGCAGTGTTGTGTCTATTTAACTGTTGAACAATTTTGCCTGATAAATGGCATTTGAAATGCATTGTGAAATACTCATAAAATTATCCTCATTGCACCTAGCTGGCTTTGCCTGCTGCTTTTTTCCTTTTGGTGTACCCCCTTTATAAAAGATTGAGACAGCTGTCTGTCATTACCCAACTTAGCAATGCGGCTACAATTTGTAACCGTCTTCCAAGTCTTTCTCCAGCCGTGGATTGTTAGGTTTCGGAACTGAGCTTTCTAACAGAGAGCAGTACTACGTCACACAGCTGGAGCAAGATGTGAGCTGGGAAGATAAAGGAGCTGATTGAAATCAGATCTAATGGAGTGAGCTCATCCATTACCCAAGTACTGAACTCACACAACAAAACTCACATTTAAAGATGTTTAGATATCCTGATAAGTAACTCTGCCAGCATACCAAATTCTGCCTTGCATACTTGGACATTTTAGATTTGGCTATGGATGTACTGACGCTTCTGGGTCAGAGAAGAACAAATACATCTACATAGGGCTGCCAATTAACTAGAAAAATAGCCTCACTCACTTTTTGATATCTGAGCTAGCTGTCAACAGTTTCTGTGTAGGTTGTTCAATTTATTTATTTTCAACTCTGTCAGGTCATAGATTTTTTGAACTAGAAATGGTCAGCTATAGATTCTGCTTCAAGACTCAGCCTGTGTGATAGGAGTAGCTGGTGTGCTGGACTTAGACTGGTTATGTCCAGTGCTTTTTTTTCTACACCAAAAGGTGCTGGAACACACCTCCCTCAGAAGATTGACCCCAGAGCCCAAAGAGGGTATCTTTGGGCTGGGGGGAGGCGTCTTCTCTTGAGCCAGAGGCAGCCTCTGTGAGACTCGGCTTGTCCTGCCTCAGCCACCTTCGTGGTACGTGTGTGTGTGTTCTCTTCCTCCTGGGAGAACAAGGCGGCCGGCCTGCCCACCAGTGCAAAGGCGGCTGAGCAACAGGTGGGCGACTTTTTTAAACTGCTCTGCTAGAGGCCCATGGCTGCTCACCCCTCAGCAGAGCAACTTAACAAGCCCCTGCCCCACATCTCTCCGGCTTCCGTGCGCCAGAGTTGCATGGGGGCTTCCTCGGCTGAGGCACAGCTTTCCCACATGCCAGTTGTTACCTGGGAGGTTGTAGAGCCTCGGCAAAACCCCACTGTGCCCCTGGCTTGCCTGCACCTCTTCAGAGCCTGTAGAGGATATCCCCTTTGAGCTCCAGGGAGGGTCTCCTCATGAGCTGGAGGTACAGTGAGGCTTTGCTGAGTCTGGTTGGGTCTCTCCCTCCACTTCCAGGGCCCAGCTGAGAGGTGCCAGAACACAGTCCCAGTGAGCCCTGGCAGAAGAAAAGCCTGGTTATTTCACCCACAGGCAAGTCTAAAGGAGATGTATTCATGTATAGCAGGGATAGTCAACCTTTTTATACCTACTGCCCACTAAAACATCTTTTTGGATGGTAAAATTTCCTTACTGCCCCCCAGTGCTCGATGGAAGGAGGATTCAGCTTATGCTGTAGAACCCCCTACCGCCCATCTAGAATCCTGAAATGGCCACTAGTGGGCGATAGGGACCAGGTTGACAACCCCCGATGTACAGGCATGATATGTATCCTTAACTTTATTCTGAAATCAATGCAAAGCTTTTCTTCCTTCTGTTGCTGTTTTTAGTTTCCTGTAACTTGGCAGTTTTCTATGGTGAAACCAATAATCAGAGTCTTAACTGCCTGCATGTTTATTGCCCAGCGTTGGAGAGCTGCATACTGAGGCCTTCGATCAATGTTGTGTTGTACAACATCACACCAGGTAAGGCATCATTATGCACACACAAAGAAGAAAGGGTTGCATGCCACTTGCAAATGTGTGTAACACATTAAAGAAATAATAATAATAAAAAAACATATTTGGGAGAAGGAAATTTAGAGTAGAAAAGTGATGGGAAGTTCTTAACCATTTCCCTGCCAGGGATGGAATAACAATGCTAAGTGCAAAAATGGAGACAGTTCCCGTCCTCACATAGATTTGGCAGTCTGCAGTGTCTATGAGGAGAGATGCTTCTTCCCTCGTAACAACTTCTAATGGGATTTCTTGAGTGAGGTTGGGGTTGGCAGCATACCAAATCTATCCTACCTGAACTTTGGGGACACTTTGCAGAGGGGTGTGAAACTATGTCCAGTGACTTTTCTTCACCTTCAGTAACTTCAGCTAGCACAGTAATATTGCAAAGCATTGCATTGAAGCAATGTTGTGAAGGTGGAATGGTGGTTAGCAGATGCTTCAGTCATTTTGTTTTGAACCTATAGCTTTGTATCTTCATGGGCACTTTTGCCCACCTGATTTCTGCAGGTTAGTGAAATATAAAGAGGAGACAGACTGAACATAGATAGGTTCAGCTGGCAGGTGTCCTGGCTGCTGCTCAAAACACCCCCTTTGAAGAGATCTTTATTGAGGCAGACTAACAGTATGGACTGGGTGGCAGGAATTAGTAGGAATAGGCAGCTAGAAGCAGCAATCAAAGTTTAAGGAGTCCAGGTTTAGGGCAAGAAGTCCAGAACTGCACAGAAGCTATGGAGTTGTCCCAATGAGTTCCCACACCCACCAGTCAAGCTTTTTAGTAAGGCAGGATAAATTTACTGGCAAGGCTCCTGTGCCTTGGAGGAATGCCAAGCTTTGGCAGGGTGGGTCTATTTCCACCTGCATAGCTCCAAATCCCCTAATGACTGCTCCCAGTGGCTTTGTATAGATGTTAAAAATCAACCCCTCCCCCAGTAAAGCCAGAGCCCAATAGAGTACTCATACACTATGCTCTTCATGGGCATGTTATCATGTGCAACTAGGAAGGCTTCCATAGTTAGGAAACACAGGTGAATTTAGGTGACACAGACATTAAAGCCTTTACTTGTGCTTGGATTCTGCTTTGACAGGGGTTGATCCGGATCTTCTTGTGTTTGAGAAACTCTCTTTCAAAGATATGAATACCAGGTCCTCTCTTAATAAATGGGAAGTGCATGGAAGCGCAAGGGTTGCCAATTTAGAAAAATGCCAGAATTCAACAACCAGTTCAAGGTACCTTCTTCCTGAATCCTTATCTTCTACAGTGGTCCAAGAGCTGGTAAGTAACAGCAGCAACACAAGTACTGCACCTGCCCCAGTTCACAGGTCTCCATCCAGCACATATTTAGGACCTGCAGATGCACCACTGAAGGACTATTTTACTAAAGTGGCAAACATCTCAGAAAAGAATGGTTCAACAGCCATGTCTGACAATGCCACTGCACTTCCTAGCACTGCCGTTACATCTATCAAGATATTATCACACATGCCCAGCCCAGCCCATCTGAACAGCAGCAAACACTTGAACGAAACCAAGGTATACAGTGGCAGGAATTCCACATCAGACAATGAAGACCAGAAATCAGCTTGGGAGGAAGTAGAAAGGGGGAGCTGGCTGCTTCCGGTGGCACTCTGTCTTTCCTTGACTGTGATTTGCTGTTGCACTATTATTCTTGCAGCTGGGTGCCATCGAAAGAGGAATGGTCGGTATAAACCAAGACGGAGAGGTGAATCCAGACGGTTCATTAGATACACTATGGTTAAAAATAACTTTTAATGGTAAATATTCCAAATCTAGAGACAAAGTGAAGGCTAGATGATGAATATGTAAGAGAAGAAAAGGGAACTCTGCAATCCTATACATCTCCACTCAGAAGACTCATTGATATGTGTTTGGGACCGATTATAGGTATTTTGAGTACTTTGCCATTAAACTAGATCGGAGATACATCTGCTTTTCTTGATTATAATGCTTCAATTCTAACAGGGTTTAAATACACCTTTCATTAAGAGTCCTTTCTCCATAAAAAACCACATAGACTGGTCGGGAAACTTTTCCAGTATGCAAGCTGTCTCCTTTCTCCACCAACCCTTACAGGCCATTAGGGCCACCAGCTGTCAATTACTTGATGTCATTATGACATTAGGTGATAACTTCAAAGTGAGTGGTAGCCCCTTTGAAGTCTGTTTGCTGATGGTTTGGATTCAAACTATTCTGCAAATGGGAGTTTCCCCTCTTAGACTTAAAGAAAAAAATGTCCATTTTCCAGGCAAGGTAAGATTCTATACCATGCCTGTCTGCAAACAGGCAAAGGGGGCGTCTCTCACCACCCATCAGATGATTGATGCCGAGAACAAACTCCTTTGAAGAAGAGCTCAGTGCAACTCAGCCAATCTCAGCCACGTATTTACCTGCCCCGCACCTGGTTTTACATATAGCACCAAGTGTTAGGCAGGCAGGTGAATGCAATTTGGAGAAAATGCATCAGCCAGATTAGTTGCATGGGCCAGAGGTTCCTCATTGCAGTACTGACTCATTGTTAAAACCGTGTTTATGGAAGACAATCTTACTTGGCTACGAGTGATCGCCAAAGAAAGAAGATACCAAGACTCAATATGAACACTAATATCAAGTAATTCTTAGAATTTATATGTCACTTTGGGCACGTTCACCAATCTTTTGCACACTTATCCCCATGTTGCAATTGTAAGAGACTGTGGTGTTGTATTTTATCTGTGTGTGACAAACCCCAGCACCACACTCACCCACCCCACCTGGGAATGGGACACGTCTCCAGGCTACAACTCCTTTTCAGCCCCTACTCTCACACTCTCATGTTTGCAAGCAGACGAGGAACTGTGATACTCAAGGCCGGAAGTACTTGCCTCTTGCAGCCCAAGGAGCAACTTACTATCTGTTTCTTCTCTGCTTCGCTACCTTTTCCATAGTGCACATGCAATGTCTACCAGAACTAGTATGCAGCTTTAATATCCTGCAGCTTTATCAAAGCATAACCCCCCCCCCAAGTAATTTTACATCTGCATGTTTTTTAGTGTGTATGCTGACATTCTGAAAATGTCCCCGTTCAAGCCAATGGCAGTCTATTATGTGGAATCGTGGTAGGAAAAACGCGGCGTACAAGGAAACTTGTTCTTCATGTGATTGGAAGTGGTGGTAGGGAAGGGTAATGCAGGATATAATTGCCATTTCAAAAGCAGTCCCACATTTAGGTTGTAGTATTTTCTCCATGTGAAAATGGCCCTTGTCCATGCAAAATCTTTTAAAAAGTTTGAAGCAACCAGAGCTGGAATTTTGCTTACTTAAGGGTAGTTTGCATTCTCAGTACACTATCTCCGAAGGGCCTCAAATCCAAAGACAAGACATACATACAAGTCCTGCTCTCAGATATGTGTGTTTGGTTAATTTTAAAGCAGCAGGGATCAAGCGGTAAGGATGGAAGGGAAGGGCCATTGCTCAGTGCTAGCAGCCATGCAGATGCTCACAGGTTCAATTCCAGCACTACAAAGCCCCACCTACAATGCTGGAGAGCCACTGCTGGTCAGTGTAGGAAATAAAGCATACAAGCTGAAAGCGTATGCAGATGATATTGTAATAACAGTGGGAGATCCAAACAGCACATTTCCGAAAGTCTTATAAAAAATACAGGATTTTGGACTGGTGGCAGGTTTAAAACTAAATAAAAATAAAACTAAACTTAGTGAAAAATGTCTCAGAGCAAGACAAGAAAAAGATTCAGCAGAAGTTAGAAATAGAGGTTCACAAAAAAGTTAAATATTTGGGAATATGGTTGACAGCTTAGAATATTAATATATTTAAAGCTAATTATGAAAGAGTTTGGAAAGAAATAAAAAGGAACTTAGAGATCTAGGGAAGGATGAATTTGTCACTTTTAGGAAGAATTTCAGTAATTAAAAAGAACGTATTGCCAAAAATGTTACTCTTATTAAAGTCAATCCCGGTGATAAGCAATGTGAGCTGCTTCAAAGAATGGCAAAAGCATATTCCAAGATTTATCTGGAAAGCGAAGAAACCGAGAATAAAATACAAACTTCTTACTGAAATTAAAGAAAGAGGTTTCTCTCTACCAGATTTAAAATTATACTTTGAGGCAACCTGCATTTTCTGGATTTGGGATTGGATTAAATTAGAGAATACAGACCTGTTAGACTTGGAAGGGCATGATAAAAATTTGGTTGGCATGCATATATACGGTATCAGAAAGCAAAAATCCACAAAGGATTTCATAATCATATAATAAAAGGTGTGATTTTTAAGGTATGGGAGAGATATAAAGATTTAATAGAACAAAAAACACCAGGATGGATATCCCCAGTAGAAGCAGTATCTTTAAAAAAGGTAAATATGAGGACTAAATGGCCAACATTTAGAGAGCTGTTAACAGAAGTGGATAACCAATTACAGTTAAAAGAATTTGAGGAAATTAGAGAGAAGGTAACAGATTGATTACAGTATTTTCAAATAAATGAAAAATTTAAAAATGATAAAAAGAAAGGTTTTAGCTACACAATATCAATAGTTCAAAGAGAAATGTAGGATACAAAATTACTGTCGAAAATGTGTTATTTGCTGTTGGAATGGGAAACCAAAGAGGAAGAGATTAAGTATGTAATGATAAAATGGGCAAAGGATGTGAGACATAATATACAAATGAGTGATTGGGAAAGGCGTTGGACGACGGACTTGAAAATTACTACATGTTTCTCACTTAAAGGGAACTACCGTATTTTTTGCTCTATAACACGCACCCGACCATAACACGCACGTAGTTTTTAGAGGAGGAAAACAAGGAAAAAATATTCTAAACGACCCAATGCTAAGATATTGTCGAGAATGTATGATTTGCTGTTGAAATGGAATACTGAGGATGAAACGGTTAAATCGGCTATGATAAAATGGGCACAAGACATTGGTCATAATATTATGTTTGCTGACTGGGAACGGTTGTGGACCACTGGTATGAAATTTACAGCATGTAATGCCTTAAGAGAAAATATTATGAAAATGATTTATAGGTGGTACATGACACCAGTCAAGCTTGCAAAGATTTATCATTTGCCTGACAACAAGTGTTGGAAATGTAAAGAAATTGAAGGAACATTCTTTCACCTTTGGTGGACGTGCCCAAGGATTAAGGCGTTCTGGGAAATGATCTATAATGAACTGAAAAAAGTATTTAAGTATACTTTTCTGAAGAAACCAGAGGCCTTTCTCCTGGGCATAGTCGGCCAATTGGTGCCAAAGAAGGATAGAACCTTTTTCATGTATGCTACAGCAGCAGCAAGAATACTTATTGCAAAGCATTGGAAGACGCAAGACCTACCCACCTTGGAAGAATGGCAGATGCAAGTAATATGGAACTGGCAGAAATGACTGGCAGAATCCGAGATCAAGGAGAGGAGCAGGTGGAAGAGGACTGGAAGAAGTTTAAAGTCTATCTACAAAAATACTGTAAAATTTATGAATGCTGAGGGCTCTGAAAACGAAATGAAGGGGTTTCTAGCAATTAAGATAAATAGACTATAAAGGGAGGGATAAAGGTTTAAAATGAATAATCAATGATCTTGCTGAACTAATTTTTAAAGTAGAATACAAGAAGGGAAGGCGGGTGGAAGTAAAGAGAATAAGGTTTTGAAAGTTATCAATATGAAAGAGTGTTCTTTTTTATGTTAATTTTTTCTTTTGTATTTTTCTTTTTTTTGCTTTTCTGTTTGGATTTTCGATGTTTGTTGTCTGTTTTTTTTGTGATTTTTGTTGATTTTTGTTGGTTGTTAACTTTTTGGAAAATCCTAATAAAATATTATTCTAAAAATATATATATATATATTCTAAACGAAACAGTGGATGTATGATTTTTGTGGTTCATGCTGTGGCCACAGACATGTGATCTGACAGTGAGTTTGGAGTAGCCCAATGCAAAAATCCTGAGGATCCATGTGGATCCATGCTTTTGCGCCATTGCGGCCCCATGAAACAGTGGGTGTGTGTGTGTGTTTTGGTGCAGGCTATAGCCATGGAAATGCTATGTGATCTGATGGTGAATTTGGGGTGACCCAGTGCAAAAATCCTGAGGATCCATGTGGATCCGTGCTTTGTAACCACGTTTTAAGTGGGGAGGGAAGGAAAAGAACTCAAGGGACAAGGAGCACGCGTGGGGGGTGTGGAGAAGGAGCTTTTCGGCGAGCTGAGCGGGGAGGAGGGAGTGAAAGAGCACTGTTGCTTTAAAGGTATACTTAAGTTATTTGCCCTGTGCCTGGGTTTTTTTCCATTTAACAGTTTGCAGCCTTTTCCTTCCGCTCCTTGTTTTGAGGCAGAATAGATTTGAGCAAGTGAGGAGGACTTGGATTGCAGGGGATTCGCCATTAGCTGTGTAAAAGCGCTCCTCCTTGCAGCCTGAATGATAAGCAGCCACCAGCAGCAATAGAATGGAGCACAAAAAAACGGTAGGGGCACTAGGACCCAGACAATGCTCAAATCTATCCTGCCTGAAAACAAGCTGCCGATCATCAGCTGAGAAGTTTTCCCCTCTCCCTCATGCCCTCCCCAGCCTTTTTTTTACTTCCTGGTTTTCACTGCGCTTGTGGCTCAGAGCTCGAGGTTGGTTTTATTTTGCTGCTGGTTGCTTAAATTTTATCTTTCCTGCCGTCCCTCTGCAGCCTCATTGCTCTGTTTAGAGAGCGCTCGGACTTTTGCTAGCGTCTGTCCCTCCTCCCGTGTAAGCGGCTGCTGCCGGCTTTGCTGCCATGGCTCTCCTTCCCTCCCTCCTCCCCGGCTCCAGGTCACTTTAAAGCAAGCAAAGTGAGAGCCTCGTAGAGCGTGTAAGCAGCTCCCGCTTTGCTTGACTGACGGCAGCCATGGCTCCGATCCGTGCATTCGCTCCGTAACACACACAGGCATTTCCCCTTACTTTCTAGGAGCAAAAAAGTGCGTGTTTTGGAGCGAAAATTACAGTATATGAAAATGATGTACTAATGGTACTTGGTAAAACTTGCTAAAATGTATAGAACAAGTTCCAATAAGTGTTGGAAATGCAGAGAAAAGGAGGGTACGTTCTATCATATGTGGTGGGAATGTAAGGTTATTAAAAGCTTCTGGGAAATGATCTATAATGAGCTGCAGAAAATGTTTAAAATAACTTTTGTTAAAAAACCAGAAGCTTTCTTATTAGGATTGATAGGAACTGAACTACCTAAAGAACAGAAGAAAATTTTTATGTGCGCTACAACAGCCGCCCGAATATTGTTAGCCCAGAGATGGAAGGAAGAAAAGACACCGACAAAAGAAGAATGGCAGATCAAGCTAATGGACTATGCAGAAATGGCAAAATTAACGGTAAAGCTCAAAGACTACAATAACAAGAAATTTTAAAAAGAGTGGGAATCGTTTGCTGTTTCTGTGCAAAAATACTGTAAACAAGTTGATACATTGGCAGGGTTTTAAGTAAATGTTTGCAACCAGTAGAAAATTAGACTTAAGGGAAATAATAATGGAAAAAGTTTAAGAATGGATATGCAGAAGAAATTGGTTAATATAAGGAACCAGAAGGGGGTATGGAGGGAAGTCCAGAGATTTAAAGAATCTCAAAGAGAAGGTTTGTTCTTATTTGTAAAAATGTAACTGTGAAAAATAAAAATTTATTTACACTATATATACACACACACACACACACACACACACTGAATAGACCATGGGCAACTTCCCATGTCTTTATTAGTGATTTAGAGAGTTGCAGGTGCCATTTCCCCAAAGCCACTGGCAACCCTGTCCTGGTAATTTCAGCCCCTAAAATTGATCTTTGTCACTGGGGAGATGGTGGCTTTCTGCTGCTTAACTTAAACACAGAAAGCAGCAGCTTGTTTCAAAAGATAAAAATGCAGTCCTTGGGACATAATCCGCCACAACATGCTCTCAAGACAAAGACCTGAGAATACAGCAGCCACATTTTACCCTCAAAAAATGTCTGTGCCAGTTTAACACTGCCTTTCCCTCTGCTTAGAGAAAAACGCTTCTGCAATTCTTGCCAGATACGGCAACTGAAACCTCCCCCAATTTGTCTCTCTGTGTGTGGTTTTAAAGGCTTTCCAGGAAAGACAGCTATTGTGCTTTTATTTTCTGACAGGATCCAGTGTAACACTGATCACTAAATCAGTCACTGGGGGCACTGAAATTCCCACTCCACCTCCCACCACCCTGGGCTTTAGGCTTTTGCACAGGTTTTCATTTCAGTTGGTTGGAGTGTGCTGCTGATAACGCCAAGGTTGCAGGTTCCATCCACATAAGGAACAGCTGCATATTCCTGCATTGCAGGGGTTTGGACTAGATGATCCTCAGGTTCCCTTCCAGCTCTCTGATTCTATGTTCTATATGCAGTTATAGACATGTACGGCTGAAATAGGGCTTCCATGAAAGCTACACAACTGCAGATTATTTGCAGGGTGAATGCAATCCTGCTGATCCCTTGAACATCTAACTACTGGAGAAGAGAAGACAGAGTAACTGTGGTCAAGCTGGTCAGTGCTCTGGGATAGTGTCTTTTTATTTGGAGGGAATGCAGGCTGAAAGTATGAAGGTTTAAATTAGATCCACTGAACTTTATGATGTACATCTTCATAGGCCTGTGATGCCTGAAAGAGTTCTCTTTACTGCAACTCACTCATGTTTAGTAGTCTCCTGACAGAGTTTTTATACTCAGAAAGGTTCTTATCTGTTTCTCCTTCATTTTTCAATTCAACCACCGACTTTCTGTAGGCCAGAATTTTTTGTGAGGCAAGAAGCTCCTGCCTACTGACTTCTTCAGTTCTGTCACCTGCTCGTATTCGAACCAGTGTCTCCAAAGCATTCTTCTCAGAGGCGCTGTTCTCCCAGATGTATTCCTCCATGTCAGCCTCCGTCTTTTCTTTTTCCCACTCTTCTGTTTTCTGAAAGGAAAAATAAGTTTTTAGTGGAAAGGGTAAAGGACTAAGTTTAATACCACAGTCATAGTACTCAGTGGCTTAGAGCAGTAGCTCTAGGAATAGCGTTTCAGGTAACCAGGTGTTCCTTGGAAGCTTTTTAGAAGTTTCTCACTTAGAAGGGCATTAATGGTAGACAAGCTCTCTTGTGTGACCATTAATCATGATGTGCAGCCAAAAGGATGCACACTCCATTCGTGCAGAGGTGCAAAAGTCCTGGTCAAGGCTCTGTGTGCACTCTAGAATCCTTTGCAAAATGCAGGGATTCTATGACAACCAAACAGGGGTTTCTCACAGAAAAAGACAAAGGGGATGCACTCCCTGAAAGTGAGATAAAATCCACTGGTCTTTTTCAAAACAGAAGTGTTTGTATACTCAGTTGTTACTGCATCCTGCCTCCACACCATTGCACACACTTATATTTAGGTAAGGACTTCTATAAAAGGTTTTCCTTCTGAAAAAACAGATGCATTAAACATATCACAACTATCTATAGCTATCTCAATAGAGCATACTTATTAGCTGAAAAATTAACTGATCAGTTATCTTGGAAGCAGCCAATTGACCAAATATGCATTAACTGACTGAATTTTTTGTTGTTTTAAATTTAGATCCCACCCTGTTCCAAAGGGTTGGTAACAAAAACAGCTCACAGCAGAAAATTGCTAAAATTTCCTCACCCATTCTCAACTTAATATTGAGTTGAGCCCAGCTCAAGATAGATGTATATCTTACAATTATAAAAGATTAGGCTGTTGGTGGGGCCTTCAGTGGGGAGTTCTAAAACATAGCTGAGAATAACCTTCAGCCATTGCTTCTGACCTGCAGGAACATGCCAGAACCAAAA